TATTTGATAAATTTAAAAAAAGGCATGGTGAGTATATTGCAGATTTTGTTTGTTGCCACAAGTTTTTGGAAAATGAAGAAAGAAAACAAAAATATATATTTTGTAAGAGATCTGCAAAATACTCACCATGCCTCTTTTTAAATTTAAATAAGTGAAATAAGGAAGTTGTGCACCTTCAGGCTTTCAAAGTGGTCATTGGATTTCAGGCTCCTGCATGTGGCTAGCCTCCCATAAAGCCTCACGTGTGGTATCCTCATACTCGGTTGAAGTAGCAGAATGTATTTTGGGGTGTAATTCCACATATACCCATGGCATGTGTGAGCAATATATAATTTAAGTAACAACTTTGTGTAAAAAAAAATGTGTTTTTGTCATTTTCCAAAAACATTTGGAAAAAAATAAATCTTCCATGATCTCAATGTGCCTCTCAGCAGATAGCTTAGGGTGTCTACTTTTTCGAAAAGGGGTCATTTGGGGGTGTTTGTACTATCCTGGTATTTTAGCACATCAAGAAATGTGATGGGCAGTCAGAAAGTAAAAGTTGGTGTAAATTCCATTATCTATACCATAGTTTGTAGATGTTATAACTTTCACACAAAGCAATCAATATACACTTATTGTGATTTTTTTTAACCAAAAACATGTAGCAGAATACATTTTGGCTTAAATTTATGACGGAATTTGAGTTTTTTGGATCTTTTTTATGACATAAATGAGAAAATATAATTTTTTTCAAAATGTTTTTTTTCAAAACTTTTTTGTTTATAGCACCAAAAATAAAAAAGCAGGCAAGGAAAGGAGGGGGAGTGAGTTTGAACCCTTTGCACAACATCAGGCTCCATGCCCTGAATATGAGAAGGATACCTTACCCCTGGCAAAGCAACTTCTTGCTAAATGACAGATTCCTAGATTACTGCTGGTTTGTAAACAAATGGGAGGGGATGGTGACTGATGTCATCAACCATATATGGCATCCCTGACTGACAACTAAATGGGCTGGGTTGCTAGGAAGCTGGCAGACATTGACTTCTCAGCAACCAGCCTGAGTGGGAAGTTGTAACATTTAGCAGTGGTGATACTATTGTTAATTGTGTCACTTTCCGCTGCTGCCTGAGCTTTGGCAAACACTCTATTTATTCCAGGTGCTTGCCAACAGGCAAAGTTAGTACTGAATTCTGCTTTGGTTTGAACCAAAACTATAATAATCTACCTGCAATAAAAGACAATAGAATTGTTTTGTTTAAAAGAAATAAGGGGGTGCTGTTGCGCTTAGGAAAACAATTAATTACCATATATATGAAAGAATTATGAAATTAACTATATATAAGATACCTATATAGCAGTCCTAAATGTGAATTTCTAAACACAAAATCTTATATATATCAAAAATGGACCATGCTAAGGTCACAAATTGACAAGATAAACTGTGCAATCTTTAAAGTGATAACACTGAGCAAAATACAAATAAAATATTATTATTCAGTCCCAACATGTGAATAATTGGTGCAACGGTGCTGTATTCAGTAACGTTGCAGTCATTTATAGCAAAAAAAAAAAAAAGAGTGCCACAGCTGCAAAATAATTGGAAATTCAAGTGGTGATTGAAGGGTGTAAATACCCTCTTCAATATGGCAGATTTTGTACTTCCTGCAGACGATCTATTGGTCGAACCTAGTCAAGGGCTTATGATACAACTTCCGCTGACGTCACTTCCGGTATTTGGAACGCACTCTGGAACGCGGTGGCCATCTTAATTCCCATTCATAATATACAAAGCTTAATACACCTAGTGCCAGGAAAGGCACTTGTTTTGTGAGTGTCATTTTTATTGTTTGACCCCATATTAAAGTTTTATACAGTTTTAGACTATGGGATGTCTGCTTTTGTTTTGATTTATGCTGAAAATATGAAATACTGCCTGTGGAGGAGAGGAGTTTCCTAACATTGATGCAGATCTAGTGGAAAGTTATTGGTAACTACCAGCAACCACGGTTATAAGGGTGAAGGAATATCGGCCATCAGGACAGGGAGTGCATACAGGGATAGTCCCAAAAAGTGAGTGTGACTTACCTAGAGATAGGTGGTCATGAAATGACAGTGAGTTTACATCTATGTGGGCACCAGTGTGAACACAGTGAAGCACTTGTTATTCCACTATGGAGCATCACCATTAGAGATTGCACCAATTATTCACATGTTGGGACTGAATATTAATATTTTATTTGTATTTTGCTCAGTGTTATCACTTTAAAGATTGCACAGTTTATTTTGTCAATTTGTGATCTTAGCGCGGTCCATTTTTAAAACAGAATTGTTTCAAAGTCTAATAAGACAATCCTCCACATTCACAGGACTTGCCCATGGTGGACTGGGTGGAAAGATTTCACTCTACACAGATCATGTAATTTATATAGATGAGAAGAGGCAGTCACTTTCTGAATTGTTCAGGATTATTGAAATATTTTGTATTTTCCTAGGTCTAAAACTTAATCTAAAAAATCTATGATCTCTTTTCAATTGGACCAACACAACCCCAAGTCTTCACTGTGTGTGTTGCACTATGCTGTGCTCGCATCAACTAAACACGTATGCTGCGTCATGTTCTGCAGAAGTATAGGAGCTTCCTGTCTGCTTCCAAAACTAAATCTATTTGGCCTGAATGCTTCTCAACCATTCAGAAGAAGCCTTGTATTTTTTAACAATTAATGCAAGAGCATTGGAATTGGTGGAAATTGTGACATCATCCACCCGATCAGAGGACAACTTTATTCATTGATTAAACCATCACTTTTACAGATACCTTACTCTTCAACGCTTAGTTCAGGCCAAACAGGGAACAAAAACTCTAAATATACTGGCTCCTCCCCTTAAAAGTATCCTAAATACAATGACTATCCCCAATAACAGACCCCTGCTCCAATTGACAAAGCCTGATCCAAGTGACCTAGAGAACATCTTTAAAAAAAAAAAAAAAGGAAACTTCAGAGAAAGTATATAACAATAATACATGATCCAAGTTGAAGCTTGACATCACTGGCAGCAAATAACATGATGTGAAGTGAGCCCATATCCATACTATGGACAATAAACCACATATTATTAACAAATTATTCAGGAGCTTTAAAACAAACCATACATATGCTTTTTAACTGTTGTTATATGCATCTATTATTTCTCTAAGATCCTTAAAGTGAACCTTTACCCACACAGGGATGTTTTACTTTTCTACTTCCACCCCCACTCCTCTACCACTTTTGGATTTTTTTTTTTTTGGGGGGGGGGGGCTGGTACCTGGTTTTTACATGTACTTCCACCCAGATCTCCTAGGTAATCCAAGCATAAGTTCACCCCCCCATCTCTGCCCTCAGCCTCTTGGGATGCATCATAGATCCAAGAAGGCAACAGGAGGATTCATACAGAACAGGGTGGTCTGTGTATGCGCAGTGGAAAGCTAACTGTGAAGATGCAAGGAGTCACACAGCTGGCTTCCAACAGTTAGCATGGCATTGCCGTGGACCGGAAGACCATCATAGAACAAGCCTGGGTGAGGACAGGGTGAGTAACTTTTATTAAAAGTCAGTAGCTACAGTAATTGTAGCTGCTGACTTTTAATTTTTTTTCTATTGGGGAGGAGACCGAGGAACTGCTTTAAACTTTACAACAATAACTCTAGAGTCCAGTTTTATTGGGTCTCTAAAAGCTTAGTAAACAGTTGCTGGTTATTTACATTAGAGGACTAACAGCCTGCCACGATTCTGTTATCATATAAATTCTACTGCCCATGGTGTGAGCTTTGAAACTTAATTTATTCAGAATGTTTAAAATGTTACTAAACCCAGGACCCTGCATTCACTATAACTGCTCTTCCACAGTACACAGAACATGGAAGTGCAATTATTTTAGTAAATATATACTGCTAAATACATTTTCTCATCAGCAATTAGAGCAGTCTTGTGACTTCTATCAGTGTCCAGCAGAGCACTGGTTAAAGCTTGTAGGAGGAGTTTTCTTGCAGGACCCCTGACCTCTTTCTGGACAGTGCTGATCACATGCACTCTCCCAAGAGAAAAAAAAAAAAACCCTCTCTAGCAATACACACTAAACTGAGCATGTGCACAATGGCTACGGCTTAGTTTGTCTCATCAGAAGATAAGACGTGGACATTTGAACAAGAGGAGGAGCAGAGAAGTCAGGATAAAATTACTTTTTTAGACAATACAGAGGATTAACACCTTCGGTTTCACAGTAAGTATAACAAGCATGCTTTACTGCATATACAGACTGAGTTTATTGTTGTGGGTTTAGTAACACTTTAACAATACAGAGATGAATAGGGGTTTGTTTTAGAGTGTTTTTATTGCTTGCACAGAATAGATACATATGTGAATTGGGTACAGGTTCACTTAAGAAGTAGGTAATAGCCTTAAAACTTAAATCTAGCAATAACCACCATTATCTTTTTGAAAATGTAAGAGAGGACTGAATGCATTATGGATTAAATTGTAAGTCTTTATTGATTCCAAAATAATCATATGTTTCGAAAATATTTGTCCTTAAATTTTCAGTATAAGTAAATACTGTCTAAATGCAAGAGGCATGTGTATGTTTATTTAAACCTTGGTGTATGTCTTGTATTTCTTTCAGATCTTTGCAGTAATCCCATGTAAAACTTTACCTCTGTTCACAGAGTTTTGTATATCAAGGCTCCTTGTGCAGGGTGACTGGTCTTGTATCAGTCCCTTGCTATAGTTTTTCTGTAGGCAGCCTGTAGTGAGTGGACATGTTTGGTTCCTCCAACAGCTCTGCCCTTTATATAGTTTATGGGCATCTCTGTGATGATATCACCACTACTGGGTTTGCAAAGGCACGCGGTACACATGGATTTATATCCTTGACTATTAAGGAATATATATATTAAAAAAAAAATTTTTGTGCCCAGAGCTCATCTTTATTATTTCCTATAACGTATACACCAGGCATCATTTTGGCAACAGGGGAACATGGGGCCCCTGTATCCTCGCCACACTCAAACCATACCCAAAAAAGCCTATGAAAGGTACCAGGGGCATCTCATGGGGCCCCTTACTGACCCTGGGCCCTCGGGCAGAGCCCGAGTTTCCAAGTGGTCAGTCCTCCCCTGCTAGTGACCATTACCAACTGAACAGAAATAAAGTTTTGAATGTAAGTGGTTGTACTATGTTGACTGTTGTTGATAAATACAGGTTCTTTATGACAGGAGTGGAAAAGAACAGACAAGGGCGCACACTCATCGTGCATTACCGTGGTATAACACATATTTATTGAATAAAAAGAGGATATATACTCACAAACCAACGTGATATAAGGCAGTAAAAGTAGTCCACAAAGACAGTCACAATGCATCTGTGTCTAATGATGCAGAGTGAAATGTCAGCTGAGTGGGAGGGTTTCATCCACCCTCCTTCTGACATTTCACTAGTATATAAGCTTGTGGCCAGCAGGCACATCTCTAGCTCTGAGGAAGGGGGTTCAGCTCCCGAAACGCGTTAGATTATCTGCATCATTAGACACAGATGCATTGTGACTGCCTTTGTGGACTACTTTTACTGCCTTATATCACGTTGGTTTGTGAGTATATATCCTCTTTTTATTCAATAAATACGTGTTATACCATGGTAATGCACGATGAGAGTGTGCCCTTGTCTGTTCTTTTCCGCTAGTGGTCAGATTTCCCGATCTTAGAAGGGCAGCACCTCTTCGGTTGGCATTTTGGCATCGCCTTGGTTGTATGAAGACTGGAGCACCGGTTTCGTTCGTTTATCTTTATGACAGGAGTTACAGCACTCCATGCCAGTTTGTGTCTGCATATATATACAGGTGTACCTCGGTTTACGCATTTAATGTGTTCTCTGTGATGTATCGTATTGTGAAAAATTTGTAAACTTAAATGCGGTTTCCCATAGGAATGCACTGAAAACCAATCAATCCATTCCGGAGGTCAGAAATTTTTTTTTTTTAAAAAGTCGCTGTTACTATAGGTCAGTGCCAGCTTTTAAATGTAATTACCGGCGTTTTTTTTTTCTTCACTATAGCTCAGAGAATCAGCTATCACTTTTCCCCCAGCTAAAAGAAAGAAAGTTTCCTTTTAGTTTATTTTCCCGAGTTAAAAGAAACAATGTTTCCTTTTAGTTTGTTTACAAAGATAAAAGAAACAAAGTGTCCTTTAGCTCTGGGGAAAGTGACAGCTAATTCTGTGAGCTATAGTGAAGAAAAAAAAACCAGCAATTGCATTTAAAAATTGGCACCGACATACACTTCGTATTGAATAAAAATTTGTAAAAAATGTGTAAACCGAGGCATTATTTTAAATGGATTTTCATTCATAAACTGAAAAGTATGTTAATCAAGGTGTTCGTAAACCGAGGTACACCAGTACATACTGTATATAGTCTTAGGTATCAGGCATCGTCCATTCTCAGATTAAACAGTTTGATTGGGTGGAAAGGGTTAATCTTAGCTCAGAGAGGACAAAATAATACACTGCGCATCTCCCATTTGGATAAGCTGTAAAATAAATTTATTAAAATGGTAAGCAGATTGGATGATAAATATAGTACTGGTGAAACAGTTGATTGCTATAGAGTTAGCAGGTGGGGTGATAATTACATTGTCAGAGGATTGGCTAATATATAACTATGTACACAAATCATAAAAGCAAATATAATTGCTCTGAAGGAAAGACTGAATACAAGAGAAAAGTGATTTTAAGTCCTGGTAGTATCACCAGATCAAATGGCAGAATCAATTCTTTAAATGTGTTTGTTCCAGCTGCAACTGCTTCTGGCACTGAGTAAATGTTATTAAAGAAAAAGTGATTTTATCCTTGTTACAAAAATATATGTTACTACTGTTACTAAGAATGTGTTGGGTTGGAAAAGAGCAAATAGCTGAGCTCCTGAGTGGTATTATTTCATTAGCAAGTTGCTGCTAACCTTGGATTATTGTCTGTTATTGTTACTGCCTTGTTCAGGGCATTTTCAAAGTGTTCAAGCAGTCTGAAAGAGAAACACATGGCTTCCAGATTCAGTAATCGCTTGCTGAGTTTTTACTGAACTCTGGTACTCACAAACCTGAGTTTTCTGACTGCTTTACGTGATTTTAAAAAGAATGTTGAGAGAGAAAGAAATTTCATCTATGAAAAGGTAAAAAAGCACCTGTAGCTCCCTTTAATGTGCTTTCTTTACCTTTTCCTTCCTAAGCATCTAAACATTGGGATAAAGTAGCTATAGGTTGCTATTCATACAGTAATTGCTCCTTTAACTGTGCAATTTAACTGCTTCCCAACCGCCTATAGCAGATATACTGCTACAGGGTGGCATGTGTGCGCAAAATCACGTATATATACTGTATGTGATTTGCATTTCCGGGTAGGGGTACGTGCCCTACCTGCGCCGCCGTTCGTGGCCGTGGCTGTCAATTACTATGTACGGGCCCGTGATTACTCGCCCATGTCTGGTGATTGCTGAGCAGCTCCGATAGGGAAGAGAACTGTTTGTAAACAAAACAGTTCTTCTCCCTGTCAGCTCGTGTACACTGCTTTGGATGGCTGTGCACAGCACAGCCATGCAAAACAGTGTGATTACAGTGAAGCACAAACACATGGGCCCCCTAGTAAAACACACCCAGCATACAGTTAACCCTTTGGTCGCCCTCATATTAACCCCTTCCTGCCCAGTGCCATTAGTACAGTATCAGTGCTGTTTTTTAGCACTGATCAGTGTATTTGTGCCACTGCAGATGTTAGTGACACCAAGTCAGTTCCCTCCAGTGTCAGAATGCCCGCCGCAGTCCCGCTATAAGTCGCTGATTGCAGCTATTAGTATATATATATATAAATATATATATATATATATATATATATATATATAGATATATACTGACATTTGTAAACACTTCAACTTTCACGTAAACCAATTAATTTATACGTATTGGGATTTTTTTTTAGCAAAGACATGTAGCAGAATACATTTTGGCCTAAATTTATAATGAAATTTGATTTTTAAATTTTTTTACTGAACATATTTAATAGCAAAAAGTCAAAAATATTGTTTTTTTCTCAAAATTGTCTGTCTTTTTTTTTTATAGCGCAAAAAATAAAAACCGCACAGGCGATCAAATACCACCGAAAGAAAGCTCAATTTGTGGGGAAAAAAAGAACATAAATTTAATTTGGGTTCATTGTTGCATGACCGCTCAATTGTCAGTTAAAGTAACGCAGCTCTGTATTGCAAAAGATGGCCTGGTTAGGAAGGGGGGTAAATCCTCAGAAGGGCAAATGGTTAATAAAGTTCAACAATTTTTCTAAATTATTTTATGAACAATAACATAAGAGACCAATTGTTGTGTAAATCTAGATTGTGCAACACCACTTAAAAGTAGAACTAAAGGCTAAACTTTGTTTGCATTTTGGATAATGTAAGGGAAGGGTATACCATTTGTAGGATTTATTTTTGCCATCAGTGTCCCGCTGGGGAGATTTCCCTTCACTTCCTGTCTCATAGCCAAAGCAGGAAGTGAGAGAAAATCCTACCAAAGTGAGGGAATTGCCAGGGTCACCAGAATTAGCATCTTCATTGGAAGATATCTCCCTTGAACTGCTGTAATACTGACACTCAGTGGCTGAATATCTCCTGCCATGGGAACTCTGCCATACTGAAGTTCTATCTGCCAAACCCAGCTCTGATGAAGAAGGGAGCACCCTTCGAAACGCGTTAACCTTCATACCCCCCCTTTTTGATTTACCTGTAACTCTGTTTGGATTATGGTTACTTATGCCTGTTATACAATCATTTTGTGAGTATATTTCCTTATTAATAAAATTAGTCACTATTTATTGAGGTAATGCGCAAGGTTTGTGCGCTCTTTCTTTCATCTTCCTCTAAAGTTTTATTAAGCTTCCCCAGCTTCATGATAGAGCTGCACAACCTCTGATCACCAGTGGATGAATACACAACTCGCTGCTTGTCACTAACGCCTGTTTGATCTGAGTCCTTGAGCGCAGGAGATAATGGATCTTTGGTGACTTTTTTCAGAGCACAGGGGATCCAGGATGGAACAGTACAGGGGGGCCAGGAGAGAACAGTGTAAGGGAGTCAGGAAAGAACAGTATAGGGGTGCCAGGAGGGAACATATAGGGGGGCCATTAGGCTCAGTACCTGGGATGGACTGACCATTTGGAAACTTGGGCACTGCTCGAGGGCCCGGGTCAGTAGGGGGCCCCATGAGATGCCCCTGGTACCTTTTTCATAGGGTTTTTTGAGTTTGGGCAAGGACACAGGGGCCCCATGAGTTGTCAGTCTGCCCTCGCACAGTACAGTACAGGAGGCAAAGGGAAAACTGTACTAGAGGGCACAATACTGGGGTCTGTAGTGGTTTTCCTCATGCAAAGTAGATCAGGAATGCTTTTGGATTGTATCTGGTGCTCTAATCCCCACCCACCCTCCTCTCTTGCCCCTGCCAAGTGATGTAACACACAGGCACTTGGGACATGCAGGAGGAGAGGGCTGGTTGGGATTGGCATAATACAGTGATGCAAGTTGTTTCACTCTCTGGCTCTGCTGCTTGACTGTCAGCAATGTGGGGATGCAATCTACCCATCTTCTGCTCGTGATGGACAAGCAGATTGTGACGGAACCCCTGGGGACCTCTCGTGGAACCCGGTTGAAAAACACTGCTCTAGATGTTGGTCTCACCATTTTACTGAGAGGAGGAAAAGAAAAAACAAGATGGTAGAGAAACATTAATAGGATGTTTTAAAGTTAAAATATAAACTCATTTGTCAAATGTACCCTTTTACCTTTCAATTAAGGCCTGAGAGGAGAACAGAAGCTATCATCTACTGTATCCCAACAATCACCCAACTGTAGGAGGTACAAGATGGAGCTCATAAGCAAACTAAATTGAAGCCTTTCCCTTGCAGTGTCCCCTAGTGGCAGAAATGCATATTTCTCTTGTTTGAGAACTGCATTGAGAAGTACAGTGTTACTTGAATTGTATTCCAGGATTTGCTTGTCTTCAGCTGAGAGAACTTTACATAAAGTCTCAGAACCTTTCATTAAGGTCTTCATGCTATGTAGTTACAATACCATGTCATGGATATATTATTTATCACTTTAAAAAAACATATTCCACACTTTTGTTTTTTTTATTTTTTTCCGACTTTTCCTTTTTTGCCCTACCTTCCATCTCTAGTCAGGAGTAGGAGAAATTATTTAGCATGAGTTTTTGGTGGTGAGCTATGGTAAAGGCATAAAAATACAAGGCAAAAATAAAAAATTATATATATTTTGGGACAATTTTCCTTTCATAAAAAAAGGTAAAATCCACCTGGATACACTAAGTAATCGTGATGATATGTTTTAGTTCTACTTACACATGTCAAAGGTGCAAATAATTGGGTTTAGATGTTAGGATTTGTTTTGGTACTGGTCATGAAGGGGTTAGCATGTACCTTTACTGAAAAACAATACTTATTATCTTACCAGGACATGTAAAGTGTTCATTGTTCCCCAGCAGTGTCCTGAAACACATGTCTTCAGACACATTTCTTGAATTCCTCCATAAAAATGGCAGTTAATTTCCTGTGTCTAGACAATCCTTTCTAGAGCCTTACAGCTGCACTGTGTGATAGTCTAAGGCATACCTGCCTGTAGCCTTTAGTCTTTTTACTTGCCATGCTCCATCCATTCTGTGCATTCTCACCATTCTGCACCTCCCCTGATGCCACCAGCCATCAGGGGTTAGCTTTGACATGAGGAAGCAAATCCCCCTATCCTCTAACAAAATGGATGCCTTCGCAGTGCGGAAGAAGTTATGGTAAGAATGTACTGTGGAAAAGATTGCATGAAGCCTCCAGGCAAGGTTTGCTCTTCATTTGCCCTTTTGTGGCACACCTTTTATGGTTCAGATCATCGTTAATTTTATAAACTGAAAAAAAGTATCTGGGTGCAAAATTGCTATTTAATACTACTGTATTGCAAGGAATTTTTAATCTCACAATCTCCTAAATCTCCAAAAATAAGCAATTTTCTTAATAGTTAATTTGCTATAAAAGAAAGAAGATTCAATACTACACTATTAACTGGAGGCATTGTGAAATTAAGAGGAGACCAATTACTATGTTGCACCTCTTCACATCTCTTGTGTAGCAACTCACATTAAAAGTAACATGATTTGAATAAAAAAAAAAGATCAGTTTCAGGAAATTTATATCAGCTAAACTGATCTAGTACTAAGAGACTCATGGGGGTGGGGCCCCTTTGGCAGCCTCCTTCAAACAATGCTAGTAGTCTAGCTAGTACACTGATCTAATGGACTCCATAAGACTGGCTTACTGTTATCTTTAAAGTCAGTATAAGAGCTGATATCTTTATTTACATGCTTGTTTCAGGTAGGGAATAGTATTGAAGTAAGGATGTAAACATACCATCTAAGAACCTAGCATTTGCAGAATAAGAAGAATCGATGGCAAGAAACTTTCAGGAAAGTTTATCTTTAACCCAGGATGGTCAAACACAAATGAAGCAGGTATGGATATATAGTAGAATAACTCTTCAAGGGGCCAGAAAAGATCTACTGAGGTCCACACCCATCTAATTCCAAAATCTGCTGAAGAGTCATAACAAAAATAGTAAAAGCTTCCCCTAAAATATCTGCTACTGATAGTTCAACATTGATAGAAGTGTCATAAAACACTATCTAAAATATTTAACTGCAAAATTATACAATAAACTGCAGGATGTATGAGCCATAGAACAGTTTTGAGACATCACTCAATGCAAATGAATGAGAGCAACAAAAAAGTTGTAAGGAATCTATTGTAGGCCAATATTACAAGTTTGACACGGCTGCTTTGACCCCTACTGGTTAACTGCTGCAAAGGACAGGGAGTTTGACAACCCATGTAAAGACCCTGACACTGCAGAGGTGGAGGTGACAAGTGTGTGGAATAATTATTGTAAATCACCACGTTTGAATCAAACTGATCTGGGTTAAATTATAGGCAGTGTAAATTGATCTGTTGACTAGTAATCATGCACAAATTAAAAAAAAAAAAATCACTTTTTATAATATTTGATTTTGCAAGCTGTGCTAATGTTAGTAATATTTGTAAAATTATACCTTAGCTAGGTGAATTTGATTTTTAAATTAAAATGTGCAGTCTAATAGTATTGACATTTTTCCAACAAAATGTAACTAAATCTCTTGAGAGACTGCCCATGTAAGACTTTGGGGGTTTACTATACAGGTGCAGTTATCAGCAAACATTTTGTTCACAGGATGGAAACATGGTGGCAGTTATGTTGCTATAATTAGATTGCAAAGCAGTTGGGGGATCCGAGTTAGGTTGGGTAATTAAGGTCAGATGGACAAGTCAGGTTGGGTACACACTAACTTTTTTCTTTTTTTTTGTGTGTTCATCCCAGTGGGCTGAACAAAAAAAAAACTTAAGAGCTCAGGAGGAGCTCACTGTATTAACTATCTACTCTGAGCTAATGTGTTCTGACAGGGGGACTGCCCCCCCACCACATTACACTGGTCAGCGTTCGCAGCCAATGGCTGCCGGAATTGATCGGATGCCAATCAGATGCTGGGTTTCCAGCATGCCTGTTTGACAGAAGCCAGCTGTTCGGCTGGCTTCTCTCAGACAGGCTGTTGTACACACGGCCAAATGTAGGCCTGTTTCTGTTGAACCGACCGATACCTGCACTTATCTTTACGGCAGACATATGGAAAATAATTGGAACATTAATCATTTGTTTTTTAGATGCATGCCCCTTAAAACTTAGAAAGAACAGAGATAATCATCAAATAATTATCATTTTCCATTTTCCGCTTGCATTAAGTCTTTAAGATATGACTTCCAGTATTTGTACTAGTAATATTTTTTAAATATTGCTCTGTCTATGATATTGCGATTCCCTCAGATTGCAGGATACAGATGAGTTATCACATTAGAAACTCATCTGTGAAGTAACATGAAGCCAGCATGTCATTTTAATGTATATGTCATTGGTGTATGCTGCAGAATAGAAACCATCATTCTCTATTTCTAATAACAATGCAAATAGATTTGCTAGGTAAGCTAAGTCTGCATATCTTGTTGTACATGCCATAAATAATAAAATGTTAAAGTGTTAAATACAGTTTGAAAGCAATGCATCCCTCTCACTGGTAAGTTGCAGTTGTAGGATATTACGAACACACTATTTAAAGGGATTCTATCAATATAATTGTCAATTGTACACCATCTATAATATAATTCAGTCAAAAAGAATCTTGAGTTTTGGAAGTGCCAAGTTTTTTTTTTAAATATTCCTTGAAGACATAACACATCAGATTAGGTTGTGTGACCAGGGCAGAGCTACTGATAGCAAAGTGTACCTCTCAAAAACATTAGGGTTGATCACTAAAGAATGTTCACTTTGCTAAGTACATTTTCCCTTTGCAAGGGATATTTGACTTGGCTTAATAAATGTGGTGAAAATGCACTTTGCAAAGAATACCCAATCAAGTGCATGAAACTTTTAGTCCTCATGCACTCTGGACGTTTTGATAATGCTGGTAACGTTAGATGTAAAATCACGTTAAAAACATGAGTTTTTCAGCTTTTTTTTAGCATTTTTGCATTAGCGTTTAGCGGAATTTTGCCACGTTTAGAGGTGGTTTCCCGTGTTTGCATTTTTTACCCCCCAAAAAATTTTGAGGGGTCCAAAATAGTCCAAAACTGCAGATTTGCAGCATTTTATTGCATTTTGCTGCATTTTTCAGAGTTAAAGCGTTTTTACAGCTAAAAAAAACTCCTCTAGAAACCCACTAGTCCTGGGGTTTTTTTTAGCAGCCAAAAAACATTTGAGGCAAAAAACTTTGATTATAGCCTGTGTGCATGGACACATAGGATAACATTCTGGGGGCTTTACTAGCTGTAGAAAAAAAAGTCAAAAGCCAAAAACAGCAGCTATAAAAACGTCAAGTGTGCATGAGGACCTAAAGAACAGAATGTGTTTGCACAATATTGGATGATTGAATTTATCTGGGCTTTCACTAAAATTCATTTTCAGTGTGTAAATTCAGTTTGCTTAATGAACAGCCTACACTCATCTAGTAAATCACCTCCACTGGGTATATGTCAAATGTCACTGACCTCTGTACAGTATGTAAGCTTCGGTAAAGCTTTTCTTGAGCAGAGGGTTTGACCCAGTCACAGCACACTAGCTTATGAATTCAATGGAGATTTTAATTCTTAGACACAGTGTGCTATTCTGAGAAATTCAAGATTCAGCATTGTTCTCTAATTGTCTATACTGTTGTGTCATTGTTAAACTCTCTGTAAGGGTTGCTGGGCATCTTAGCTCATATATTTACAAGATGCAAATTTACCTGGTAATTTTTTCATTAGTGGTAGAAAAACATTTGTGATTTATGTAAAACCATATCAAAGCCTAACATAAAAAGTTGCAAAGGACAGAACAATCCATGCAGTGCTGAGTTGTTGGCATTTTCTAAATGTTTCTGGACATTGATAAAATGAGGACTGCTAATCACTTTGTGGGATTTTACTGAACTCTGGGACAGGTATATTCAGCAATAAATTAATGATTCTATATACAGCTGCTGATTATGTAATAACATAAACTTACTATCAGGGGCAGACTGGCAACTCATGGGGCCCCTGTGTCCTTGCCCAAACTCAGAAAAGCCTATGAAAGAGGTACCAAGGGCATCTCATGGGGCCCCCTACTGAACCCGGGCCCTCGGGCAGTGCCCAAGTTTCCAAATTGTCAGTCCGCCCCTGCTTACTATTGCATTGCAGTGATGTGATATATTACTCTGCCTGTTTATTTACTGAGTGTGTCTACTGACCTGTGATGCAGTGTGTTTGTTTTGCCCTTTTCAAATATGGCTGTTGTGCCTTCTGTGTTGTGTGTTAAAGTCATCAAGAGTGGCCTGCCTATTGCAAGAGATCACTGGGCAAGTCCTTAGAGCACACATGAGAAATACATGAAAAGGCACAGACTATAAGATATTGTAAAGTTTGATGGTCTACTGGATTTTACTTGTTCCTTCTATTCAATTTCAATACTTTGAAATACAATACTCTTTGGATTATTCTCTATGAAAAATTGGGCATTTTCTGAAGTGGGACTGCACTTGTTATCCATAAGACCCTATTGAGTGGAATCACTGGTAATTATTAGAGAATATAAAAAACAATACATTTAGGGAGGCTTTGGGAACCTTCAAACTTGTAGAGTATGTGCAGTCAGATGAAGAAAGGAAAATTCATTAGTTCCTGCAAGGCAGTTCCTGCACCACATGGCTTACCTAAATAGACACCCAACAGTAGCTCAAACCATATAAATTACAGAAATAAATGCCACAGAACCAAGCGGGAACACGGAGGTACCGCCAGCACTGAATATGTGTAATGGCAGGGGTTGCTGGGGTGGGCTGGAGGGTTTATTAATGCTGGCTGCTGGGTGGTCTATTGTTCCTGGGAGTATCTATTTTTGCATGGCGGTCTATAGGTGCTGCGATGGTTTATTTTTGTTGGTGGGGGGCTTATGTTGCTAGGGAGTCAGTTGTTGCTGGAAGTGATCTACTGTTGATGGGTGGATGGGCTTCTACTGTTGCTGGCTGCTGGTGGTCTATTGTTGCTGGAAGGCATCTATTATGGGTGGCTGTCTATTGTTGCTGGGGAGATCTATTGTTACTGGTGGGTAATCTATTTTTGCTGGGGGGTTAATTGTTGCTGGAAGGGATTTACGGTTGAGTTAGGGGTCTACTGTTGCTGGCTGTTAGAGAGTCTATATATGTTGGCTGCTGGGAAATCTGTTGTTACTGCCAGGGGTCTATTGTCACTGGGGTCCATTGTTGCAGGGGGTGGAATCTATTGTTGCTGGGGAGGGGAACCTATTTTACTGCTTTTTCTTGTTATTAAGAAATTCCATACAAATTACTTAGCACCACAATATGATACTTGGCTCTATATTCTTTAAAAGGGTGGTGCTGTTAGGTGGGTAGGGGGTGGAACCAAGGGACAATGCTTGGAGGTGGGTATGGGGTGGAGACAAGACATAACTCTGAAGGGGGAGTTTCTGCACCTATTCTCTCTGAGAAAAAAAGCCCTACGAACAACAATAAATGTAGGGGGGGGGGGGGTTGGGGGGGGGGGGGGGGGGGGGGGGGGGGGTGGGGGGGGGGGGATTTCATGGAGCAACACCACTCCCCCTTCTTCATCAGCGTTCAACACAGGAAAACTTAAATGGCAATAACAGTATGACAACTAGTTACTGAGTAGAAATGGAGCTTCTGCTGGTGTTTGGATGCAATCACACATAGAACAATTACTTGCAGTTAGGAACAGATTACTATCCCCAGATGCCAACTGTTTGTGTCAAGGGCCTGTTCCTAAATGCAGGTAATTGCTCTATGTGCGATAACATCTCCATAATGGTGGACAGCTGACCCCACTCTCAGCCTTTTATTGCTTTGTACAGATTGAGCAGCTGCAACTGTCTGCCATTAACTGTAATTTCAGCCCCAGAAATCCATTGGATTTTTGCTGTAGTTGGCACTAAAAATACAGTGTAAATGGGGCTTAGTGAATAAACTAAAGCTGTGTTCATGTCAATCAGCCAATCATGTGCAAGAAAAAAAGGGATAAGTTCACCTTTTGGAACATGTAACATGTTCCAGCAGCTGCGGGGGGATCTTCTTCCCTTTGCCCACTGTCTCTATTTGAAGATAACGCAGCCATGTGGAACTCTGACCACGGGGTTACATTATTCTTTCACAGGTTCCTGTGAATGAATGCCTACATGTACTGTCAGCATTTGTGGCTGATGGCTTGTAGTTCTCAATGTACTGCAAGGGCACTGGTGAGCCCTCTCAGAGTCCATTAAACACCTTGGCACCGGTGCCTCCTGGCCCTTTAAGGGTTTCAGAAGCCGCCGGGAGGAGGGGCGTGTTTTAGGGTCATATGACAGCGAATCACGGCAGTCACATGATTGGGAAAGGTCCTGATCGCAAGAGGAGATCGGGACCTTTCCGTGAGTTATCGGACATGTGTGCTGGGAGCGCGCAGGGTACGTCCTCTCAGCACATATGTTTTTCTTAATTGCACGCAAATGTGCGGTCACTCGGTGTCAAGGCCCAGACGCCGGGAGGCTTCACATTTGTGTGCGGCCGGCGCCAGGAGGTTAGGTTTCCTGGACTGCAGTAACTGCCTGCCCATATTATACAGTCAGGTCCATAAATATTGGGACATCGACACAATTCTAACATTTTTTGGCTCTATACACCACCCACAATGGATTTGAAATGAAACGAACAAGATGTGCTTTAACTGCAGACTGTCAGCTTTAATTTGAGAGGGTATTTACATCCAAATCAGGTGAACGATGTAGGAAATACAACAGTTTGCATATGTGCCTCCCACTTGTTAAGGGACCAAAAGTAATGGGACAGAATAATAATCATAAATCAAACTTTCACTTTTTAATACTTGGTTGCAAATCCTTTGCAGTCAATTACAGCCTGAAGTCTGGAATGCATAGACATCACCAGACGCTGGGTTTCATCCCTGGTGATGCTCTGCCAGGCCTCTACTGCAACTGTCTTCAGTTCCTGCTTGTCCCAATATTTATGGACCTGACTGTAGGTACAGGCAGACAGTGTACTGACAGTCTGCAAGAGCGTGACATTGAACCCGTGATCTGCTGATAATAATAAATGCACATTTTCTACCTCCCAAAAAAATTTGCTTTTTTTTAAGTGAACTTATCCTTTTAAAAAATTACCATTTCATAAGTATGACTTTACCATATTTATCCAGCTAAGTGTACCTTTACTTTTTTAAGTGAACAGCCGCTACTCATTTAGTGAAGCAGCCCTTTGAATGACAATAAAGACACCTACAGAGTTATACATTCATGGAACCCTATTGTGTTGCAGGTTCCTGTTCTGGAACCACAGCATACTGTGTAATGAAAAGCCACACCAAAGGTGTGTGTGTGTGTGTGTGTGTGTGTGTGTGTGTGTGTGTGTGTGTGTATATATATATATATATATATATATATATATATAAATTAATACAAACATATGAATAGAAACAAAATTTGCCACATAACATTTGACAACAAAGGATAAATTATAAATGCAGAGTAGGTAGTCTTCTTTCTTATCATTTATATACTCTTCAAAAATGTTTTAAATTATGTACATCAAGAGGCCATTACATAGCTCCTTAATATAACAATTTCTGAAAACAATGTGCTTGTTCCAGCACACAGTGCACCTACATAACTGCTCTTGTTAGTGTACATTGCAAGGACACCATGTCACTTGCTGCCTCGGGCAGAGGAATGATTAAATCTTCTCCCGCATTTCAGGGCTTACTATCCCTTATGTCCATGTTGAAGATCCACCTGTAGATTTATACTCACACCGTGGTAATTATTTTTTGTTTTTAGTGTTGCCATTGCCACTGACAGCACACGTGTTTGTTCAAAGCAGCTGTTACAGGAAGATGAAAAGATTATTATTTTTGCTCCTGAAGAAATAAATTTCAGTGTCAGTTGATTCCTTGCATTAACAGGAATAAACACCCTTCATATTTACTTAAGCATCTTTTATTGTGGATGGTTATCCCTGCTTGTAAGCTGATTATAACAAGAACATTCCAATAACTAGAGGCTTACTCAAAAGGTATTAAATCAACTGGATGTTGAGAACATGAGTATCCTTTCATTCAACCTCCAGGTGGTACTGAAGGCTAATGTTATTTATAGAAATACAATACAGACCAGCAAGCTTGACTCCAGTCATGAGTAAGAATTAAAACAAATGAAGGGATTTTCGAAGACAGAATGCAGGGAAAGATTTTATAATATAAATTGATACCAGCATGATTTTATCAATAACCTGTCCCAAACATCTGTTCAGTTTCTTTGAGGAGACAACATCAGCTACAAATCATAGAAATGCAGATTATTCCAGGTAATTAGATTTCTATTGCATATATCTGCACACAATGGAATAAGACAGAGAATCCTAGAAAATGCCCAGTTAACGAGCCCTCTGCCTCCTCCTAGCCTCCGATGTTAGGCTACATACACACATACATTTTTACATACACCTATGTTGTATGAGGTGCTCTGGGTGCACGTCAATGCTCCTGTCAATCATGGCAGTATTGACAAGGTAAAGATTGCATCTTCCATCCGCACAAGGATATTTTAAAGGATAAGTGCACCTTTAATAGAGGTCTTTGCATTTCTAACCCCAAGCCTTTGCAGCGGCTTTGTTAACTGAATCACTTAAGAGATGTGTTGAAAATTGGACCAGTGCTGCTACAATCCAATTCAGTTTACAAATCCGTTGCAGAGGATGGAAAGGGGCTAAGGGGTAGAAGTACAAGAATTTCTATTAAAGGCTCACTTATCTTTAGTGCACACTTAAGAACGGATATGTGTATTTTATCATCTTTCAATGTGCATTAAAGACTTCCCATGTGAACAGAAGATTTGATATTCCTCTTGACAGTGCTACTACATTTTACAGGTTCAGTGTGCTTGCAATGAGACAAGCACATGTGAGCATGTGTCAGTGGGCCTACTGAAGAGCACTGGGCACATATATAAATATACATGAAAAAAAAATATATAAAGTATGTTTAGACATCTTGGTAATTTAGTCTGATTTAAATACATTGTTGAATAAATAAATACTATATTCCTTAAAACTGAAAAAAAAATATTCATGCAGGTACTGTGCGTGTTAATTAAATTGGGTGTGAAATGAAGGAACTAGTTTAATTAAATAGTTAGTCTGACTGAAAAAAAGACAAAAGTCCATCCAGTTCAACCCCAGAAAAAAAAAATAAAGTTATAATCCTATACCCACCATTGATCCAGAGGAAGGCAAAAAACCCCAG